TGAGCATATTTCCGTAAAGCATTATGGGGTGCATCGTCACACATGCCACAACCCTCGTTAAGTTGTTCCAATGGTTAACTACCCTCATTATTAAAGATGTGTGTCTTATTGCTAGACTGAATTTATCTGGCTTCAGCTTCCAGCCATTAACATGTTAGACCTTTCTCTGCTAGAGTGCAGAGTGCTCTGGTATCAAATTTCTGTTCCCGTGTAGGTACTTTAAAAATATGTATTGTTTGCCTGTGCCCAGCTTCCCAAGCAATCCAGATCGCCCTGTGTCAATGTCCTGCCTTTTTATCCAGATACTCCTGTATTGAGACTAATAACTTGTGTCTGACTACAGCACCCTCCAGAAGGGTGATCAGTCTGGATTTGTGGAGATCAAGAGGTGAAGAATCCACCACTTCCCTTGGTAGTTTGTTAACCTTTAACCCATTCCCAGTGGCTGTTACCAGCTCCAGAATTGGCACAGTTAAGGTTGCATTGCAGGGCTGGCATGTACCTTAACTTTGTATTTTCTGATTTTCAGAGGTTTTGGTTTAGCCACTGTCCACATTCTGGAAGGGCAGGAGGCACCACTGGGCAACTTTAACTCTGCAGTAATGAAGTTTTGGGGCATTTAATATATATTTGCCCCTTGAGCTAAAAGTGTTGCTGGTAGCAGTAGTAGGCTGTTATCCTCTGTGTGGCTCAGCCAATAGAGGGGTGTGTGACACACATTTTATCAGTGGACAATACATTGCTTGCAACACAGCAGTAGAATACTGGGTGTCAGGACTCCGGGGTTCTGTTTCTGAGCCTGGGACAGGAGTGGTTAGAGCAGTTGCTGCAGCCAGAGAGCCAAGTGCATAGGTTCAGCAGACTCTAGTTGAAAGGAGGAGTGACTGAATCTTGGATCTGGGTATTAGAGATCTGGCATCTGTTCCTAATTGCCAGGAGTCCTGTTAGCTGTAAAATGGGGGGATGATACCGGTCTTCCTAAGGTAGGGGTCTGAAGCCTTGCCCAGCGAAAAGGGCTGTGAACTCAAAAAGTGTTGCATCCAACATGGGGGAAGTCTATATTAGACCTTGTCTTGACAGCTAAAGAGGAACTGAGCACAGAACTAAAAATGAATGGTAGCTTAGGCACAAGTGATCATGACTTATCACATTTATAATGTACAAACAGAATGGAGTCCAGTGATATCAATACTTGGTGCTTTAAAAGGGCCAGTTTCACAAAGCTGAAAACAATTATGAGCCAAGTCAGCTGGGAGGAAGAATTGAATCAGAACAAAGTGAATGACTGTGAATTAAGGCCACTTTATGAGGCTGTGTCTACACTACAGACCTTACAGGGGCACAGCCCTATCGCTGCAGCGGCACCGCTGTAAGGTCTCCTGTGTGGCTGCTCTCCCACCAGCGTAATTAAACCACCCCAACGAGTGGCAGTAGCTCTGTCGGCAGCAGAGTGTCTCCTGCCAACATAGCGCAGCCCACACCGACGCTTTTGTCTGTGAAACTTATGTCTGTCAGGGGGTGTTTTTTCATACCCCGGACTCAAAGTTTTACCGACACAAGTGCTAGTGTAAACATAGCCCTAGTTGCCCCAAAAGCCACAATCCCCCTGTCGAGGAAGAGGCCATATTGGTTAACAAAGGACATTTTGATTAAAAATCTAGGTGGTTGTAAAATTAACACAGTGCACACTAAATGGATTAAAAACTAACTAACTGATAGGTCTCAAAATATCATTGTAAATGGGGAATCATTGAGTGGGTGTGTTTCTAATGGGGTCCCACAGGGATCAGTTCTTGGCCCTATGCTACTTAACATTTTTATCAATAATCTGAAAGAAGACATCAAATCATCAATAATAAAGTTTGTGGATGACACAAAAATTGTGGGAGTGGTAAATATGGTAGAGGTCAGATCTGGATTGCTTGGGAAGCAAAATATACTTTTAATACAGCAAAATATACATGTGTACATCTGGAAACAAAGAATGGAGGCCCTACTTCCAGGATGGGGAACACTATCCTGGGAAGCAGTGACTCTGAAAAAGATTCAGGGGTCATGGTAGAGGTGGACAATCAGCTGAACATGAGCTCCCAGTGCAACACCGCACTCCAAAGGTCTAATGCAATCCTTCGGTGCATAAGCAAGGGAAATCTCAAGTAGGAGTAGAGAGGTTATTTTACTTCTGTATTGGCCCTGGTGTGACTGTTGCTGGAATTCTGTGTCCAGTTCTGGTGCTCACAATTCAAGAAGGATGTTGGTACATTTGAGAGGGTTCAGAGAAAAGCCATGAGAATGACTAAAGGATTAGAAAACATGCTTTGTAGTGATAGACTCAAGGAGCTCAGTCAATTATAACAAAGAGAAGGTTAAGGGGCAAGTTAATTACACTCTAAATACCTACATGGGGAACAAATATTTGATAATGGGCTTTTCAGCCAAGCACAGATCTAACACTATCCAATGGCTGAACATTGAAGATAGCCCAATTCAGATTGAAAATAAGGCACACATTTTTAATGGTAAGAGTAGTTAACCATTGGAACAATTTACTATGGGGCATGGTGGATTCTCCATCATAAACAATATTTAAATCAAGATTGGATTTTTTCTAAGGGGCCTACTCTAGGAGTTCTCCTGGGGTAGGTCTCTGGCCTGTGCTATCCAGGAATTCAGACTAGGTGATCACAAAGGTCTCTTCTGGGCCTTGGAAGCTATGAATAGGTGACAGTATTGACTGGAGATTCTGAGCCTTGAACTCCTGACACTCCTGGCTCCTAGCTCAGGGCACCCTCGGCTGGTGGGTATTTTGTGGGGAAGGGACCCTCAGACTGTTGAAAAATGGAGATTGAAGGAGGCAGATCTGTCTTACAAAATTCAGAACCCCAAACTCATGGACCACTAAAAATGTTGATCGAAAGCCAACTCTGGAGTCAGGACTCCTGGTTTTTATCTTCCTCTCTGTCACTGGGTCACTCTGTGATGCTGGGCAAAGCACATAACCTCTGTGTGACTCAGTTTGACCATCTGTTCAGTCCTATGACGGCTTTGCATGGAAGGATTAATAGCACAGTGTTTCCTGTCACGGGTGGGATGTGGCGTTTTCCCTTTCCCATGAACTGATGGAATGTGCTGGACTGGCAGGCCGGGTCTCTCTGCTGAGACTATTTTCTGTGATGGTGTCTGTTGGGAAATGGCCGCTTGTCCACTGCATTGGGACCATCATAGTGATTCAGAAGGGAAGGCTCCTTGCAGCACCTGCAACACTGAGCCACCTCCTTAAACAGCAATGCACCAAGTCAAGCTAGTGAGTACAGCTTGTGAGGAGCCTGTTCTCCCTGTCCCTGGCTCATGCGGGGCTAGAACCAACAACTCCCTCCTCTGATCACTGACATCAAAGTTATTTGGCTTCTAAATGCTTTGCTCTCATGCATGCCCAGCTGAAGGAAAGGGCACATTCAGTGACTGCAACCTGAGTTGCAGGAGATTTCTACTATGCAAGGGCCAGGGTGAGTTGGGGAGAGCTATGGTCAAGGGAGCTGCCAAGGGGCACAGGGGCAGATAAGCCCCTAAAAGTCTGGCACATTATTCAAATCAGGTCAAATCTCCCAAGGACAGGCTGCCTCCGGGGAGCCCTAGCTGCTGCCTCCTGCTGGGAATGTGCTTTCACGCTGAGGCCTGGAGGGGCAGAGGAAAGCCAAGATGCCTGAACTGTTCCAAACTTCCCACGTGGCTGAGTGTGAGCCCTGAGCCTCTTGAATACGAACACTTGAATGGGAGTCCCTAGGGGTGAGCCCTGAGCCACGAGTGTAAGCCTCAAAGCCACAGTCTGAGCTCTGACTGGGAGCCGGGAGTCCTGAGTGGGACCCTGAGTACCTGAAGGGTGTGTCCACGGAGGCATGGTTCTCTTTTATCTTTCCCTAATTTTACCTTCCTGTGACCGCCTCCATCTCAGCACTAGGGCGCCTCCCGCTGAAAGGCAGCCCTGCACTCACTGGATGGATCAGAGCCGGGAGCTCTGCACCCGCGGGATGGATGGGAGCTGAGAGCCCTGTACTCATGGAATGGGATCTGGGAGCCCTGTGCTCGTGGGATGAGAGCCCTGCACCCACAGGATGGATCAGAGCTGGGAGCTCTGCGCCTGCAGGATGGGATGGGAGGCGGGAGCCCTGCGCTTGCGGGATGGGATCAGAGCCGGGAGCCCTGCGTTCTCAGAATGGTATATCGGAGCCGGGAGCCCTGCGCTGCCAGGATAGGATGGGAGCTGGGAGCCCTGTGTTCACGGGATGGGATCGGAGCTGGGAGCCCTGCACTCGCGGGATGGGATCGGAGCTGGGAGCCCTAGTTAGGAAGTTCTGTGGGGTGAGACGGGAATGGAGGAGCAGAGAGGGCAGGTCCCAACGCAGGAGAGGATGTAAGGGCTGATGCAAACATACTTCAGACAAAATGTTTCCTGACCAGCCTCTCCTTTTACTTCTCTGCTTGGACCCAAGTTCAGCATTGCTAGCAACATTTGCTCCCCTGAGTCCCACCGATATTTCAAGAAGGGTTTACATGAAAATATCTGCATAGCCAGTGTTTCCATGATGCTCCTGCCTGTACCTCGCCCTGAGTTAATACTGCCCTCCAGGTGGAGGGGCCTGGCTGGGAGGGGACAGAAAGGGATTTGGAGAGCCCGTCATGCAGAGGCCAGTGCCATCACAGAGGGGTGGATTTCAGTGGAGGAGCAATCCCACCCAGTGCCCCAGCCTGTGCAGCCAGCAGGGGACTGAGGCCATTGACAGACAGACATTGCTTGGTCATTTGAATCCACAGGTCAGCTCTCTGCTGTCCCTGCAGCTTCCAGGAGGGGGCAGCTAAAACCCCGTCTGGCGACTTCATGCGTGGCCTGTGTCTTTGGGTGCCCCAACCTCCTGTGACTCTGTACAGCGTGGGAGAGCCGATGCAGTTATGTGCGATTCTGGAGGCCAGTTCTAAGCCCTGGTCCCTGTGTTCTGTGACAGGTACGCCCCAGTCGGGATCCTATTCTTAATCGCTGGCAAGATTCTGGAGATGGACGACTTAGCAGTGATGGGGGGCCAGCTGGGAATGTACACGCTCACCGTCATCGTGGGGTTGCTCATACACTCCCTGTGTGTCCTGCCGCTGCTGTACTTCATTGTCACCCACAAGAACCCATGGGTGTTCATCACAGGCCTTCTGCAGGCCCTCATCACCGCACTGGGCACCTCCTCAAGGTATGCTGCTTCCCCAGGCAGACTGCGCTGGGCAGGGGCACAGCAACCCGTGGGCAGGGTTGCCAGGCATCTGGTTTTCAACCGGAATTCCCAGTCGAAAAAGGACCCTGGCGGCTCCGGTCAACACTGCTGACCGGGCTGTTAAAAATCTGGTCAGCAGCACAGTGGGGCTAAGGCAGGCTCCCTGCCTGCCCTGGCTCCATGCAGCTCCTGGAAGCAGCCAGCATGTCCCTGCAGCCCCTAGGCACAGGGGTGATCAGGGAAGCTCCGTGCACTGCCCTTGCCCCGAGCGCCAGCTCCGCAGCTCCCGTTGGCCAGGAACCACACCAGTGGGAGCTGTGGGGATGGCGCCTGTGGATGTGGGCAGTGTGCACTGTGCAGAACTGCCTGGCTGTGCCTCCGCCAGGGGTCAGACATGCCGGCCACTTCCAGGAGCAGCATGGAGCCATGGCAGGCAGGGAGCCTGCCTTAGCCCCACTGCGCCGCCGACTGGGAGCCACCTGAGGTAAGCGCTGCCCAGCTGGAGCCCGAACCCTCTGCCCCAGATCAGAACCCACTCCCACCCCCTTCCTCCCTCCCGGAGTCTGCACCCTGCACCCCTTCCTGCACCCCAACCCACTGCCCCAGCCCAGAGCCCCCTCCCACACCCTGAACCCCTCATTTCTGGCCCCACCCCAGAGCCCACACCCCCAGCCCAGAGCCTGTACCCCCTCCCACAGCTCAACCCTCTGCCCCAGCCCAGTGAAAGTGAGTGAGGGTGCGGGAGAGCGAGCGATGGAGGGAGGAGGGCTAGAGTGAGTGGAGTGTGGGGCCTCAGGGGAGGGGCAGGGCAGGGGCGTGGCAAGGGTGTTGCTGATGAAGGGTTTTGTGCAATTAGAAAGTTGACAACCCTACCTGTGGGGGAGGGCTGGGGAGCTAATTAGACATCATGGGACACATGCTCAGAAGCTCTCGTTATTCTCAGTGAGTGCTGAACTCTTGCCACCGCAAGGCTGTGGGGTGGGATTCCCAGCTTCTTGCCCTAGAACCCAGTCCCAAGCCCAACAAAGTCCCATGGCCTTCTTTGGCCCTGGATTGGAGCTGTGATCATGAGGGCAGGCTGCCTCCATCTACGTGCATTAGTGTATGTGCCAGCCACCAAGGAGGCGAACATATCTGTCTGGGGAGGAGATGGTGGGGACTTAGCCGCTGGTCCTGGACTGCACGCCTGAGCTCAGGGCCCAAACTCATATACCACTGGCCTGGCCTGGGGGAGACTGCTCAGCCTGCCACTCACACACACATTCACAGACACGCTCACGCGTGCTCTCATACACACACATGCGCTCTCACAGACACGCAGTCACACACACAAATGCTCACACACATTCACATGCACTCACACACCCGCTCTCACACGCACTCACACATGCGCACTCACATGTGCTCTCACACACTCACACATACACACTCAGACAAGGCTGTCTAGTCTTTCAGTGATTGGGGAGAAGGGCCTCAAGACCCTTGTCTAAGACTGGTGCAAAGAAGCTCAAGATGGTGCCACCCTCCTGCAGTACAAACAGCTTTCTGCGGAACCTGCTGTGAGGCCCCACTCCTGGCCTGACACCGTCACTCCCAGCCAGCAGCAGGGCTGGGAGTCCTGACACTCTCAGGCAGCTTCAAAGTGCACTATACCACCAAGAGACCCACTCAGTCTGCACTCACTCCCAGCAGCCACTTCTGACCTCCCCCTCTACACCTTGCAGGGCAAGAAAGCAGGGATGTGGGATAATAACAAACCAGGGAAGGGCCAAGCATGCTGGAGTGCGTGGCCTTTGCTATTTCCTAGAGGAAGGCAGCATGGTCTGGTGGTTAGAGCTCTGGGAGTCAGGAAACCTGGGTTCTGCTCTTGGCTCTGAGCTTAACTCTCCATGTCACTTTGGGCAAGTCCCTTTCCACCTTTCTGCCTCACTCTACAATACAGAGGTTCTTGGAGGCACCATGCCAGGGGCCAAGCCCTTGGTCCTTCCCCCCAGCGTAGGCTCCAGTAGCCTTCAGGGTCTATTGCTGAGTGAGTGGGGTCACAAAACGCCTCCGGCCAGGGCCCCCTCCCTGGTGCAGAGGTTGGGTGTGGCTCTTTCATGGTGTTTGGGGTTTCCTTTCAGCTCGGCAACGCTCCCCATTACGTTCAGGTGCTTGGAAGACAACAACGGGGTGGACAAGCGCATCACCAGGTTCGTTCTGCCCGTAGGCGCGACCATTAACATGGATGGCACAGCTCTATACGAGGCCCTGGCAGCCATCTTCATCGCACAAGTCAACAACTACGAGCTCGACTTCGGGCAAATCATCACAATCAGGTGACTGGGCCCAAGAACCTGTGCCATTCAGAGGGAGTCAGGCATCGGGGGTCTTGCAGGGCTTGACGGCTGACCCCAAAGGGATCAGGCACCGGTTCTGCTTTGAAAAGGGACTGAGAAGAGGGGGAAACAACAAATTCAGAGAGGGCCCCACTTTTGCCAGCCATGTTCTGGGAGGCGGTTCTGCCCCAGGCCAGAGATCAGGCTGTGGTTTTCAGACTGGGGTACATGAAGTCTCTCCCCATGGTGAGCAAAATGAGCCCATGAGAGCCAAGCAGCAAAGGTTGGGGGTTGGGGGATTGAGGGTGGAGGGGACTCTGACAATGACCGCAGTTTGCAGTGTTGTTGCAACCATGCTGGTCCCAGGCTATTACAGAGATAAGGTGGGAGAGGGAATATCATAGAATCATAGAATCTCAGGGTTGGAAGGGACCTCAGGAGGTCATCTAGTCCAACCCCCTGCTCAAAGGAGGACCAATCCCCAGGTAAATCATCCCAGCCAGGGCTTTTTCAAGCCTGATCTTAAAAACCTCTAAGGAAGGAGATTCCACCACCTCCCTAGGTAACGCATTCCAGTGTTTCACCACCCTCCTAGTGAAAAGGTTTTTCCTAATATCCAACCTAAACCTCCCCCACTGCAACCTGAGACCATTACTCCTTGTTCTGCCATCTGCTACCACTGAGAACAGTCTAGATCCATCCTCTTTGGAACCCCCTTTCAGGTAGTTGAAAGCAGCTATCAAATCCCCCCTCATTCTTCTTTTCCGCAGACTAAACAATGCCAGTTCCTTCAGCCTCTCCTCATAAGTCATGTGTTCCAGTCCCCTAATCATTTTTGTTGCCCTCCGCTGGATGCTTTCCAATTTTTCCACATCCTTCTTGTAGTGTGGGGCCCAAAACTGGACACAGTACTCCAGATGAGGCCTCATCAATGCCGAATAGAGGGGAACGATCACGTCCCTCGATCTGCTGGCAATGCTCCTACTTATACATCCCAAAATGCCATTGGCCTTCTTGGCAACAAGGGCACACTGTTGACTCATATCCAGCTTCTCCTCCACTATAACCCCTAGATTGTTTTCTGCAGAACTGCTGCCTAGCCATTTGGTCTCTAGTCTGTAGCGGTGCATTGGATTCTTCCGTCCTAAGTGCAGGACTTTGCACTTGGCCTTGTTGAACCTCATCAGATTTCTTTTGGCCCAAACCTTCAATTTTCCAGGTCCCTCTGTATCCTATCCCTTCCCTCCAGCATATCTACCTCTCCTCCCAGTTTAGTGTCATCTGCAAACTTGCTGAGAGTGCAATCCATGCCATCCTCCAGATCATTTATGAAGATATTGAACAAAACCGGCCCCAGGACCAACCCTTGGGGCACTCGGCTTGATACCGGCTGCCAACTAGACATGGAGCCATTGATCACTACCCGTTGAGCCTGACAATCAAGCCAGCTTTCTATCCACCTTATAGTCCATTCATCCAGCCCATACTTCTTTAACTTGCTGGCAAGAATACTGTGGGAGACCGTGTCAAAAGCTTTGCTAAAGTCAAGGAACTCCATCCACTGCTTTCCCCACATCCACAGAGCCAGTTATTTCATCATACAAGGCAATTAGATTAGTCAGGCATAACTTGCCCTTGGTGAATCCATGCTGACTGTTCCTGATCACTTTCCTCTCCTCTAAGTGCTTCAGAATTGATTCCTTGAGGACCTGCTCCATGATTTTACCAGGGACTGAGGTGAGGCTGACTGGCCTGTAGTTCCCAGGATCCTCCTTTTTCCCTTTTTTAAAGATGGGCACTACATTAACGTTTTTCCAGTCTTCCGGGATCTCCACCGATAGCCATGAGTTTTCAAAGATAATGGCCAATGGCTCTGCAATCACATCTGCCAACTCCTTTAGCACTCTCGGATGCAGTGCATCCGGCCCCATGGACTTGTGCTCGTCCAGCTTTTCTAAATAGTCCTGAACCACTTCTTTCTCCACAGAGGGCTGGTCACCTCCTCCCCATGCTGTGCTGTCCAGTGCAGTAGTCTGGGAGCTGACCTTGTTCGTGAAGACAGAGGCAAAAAAAGCATTGAGTACATTCACTTTTTCCACATCCTCTGTCACTAGGTTGCCTCCCTCATTCAGTTAGGGGCCCACACTTTCCTTGACTTTCTTCTTATTGCTAACATACCTGAAGAAACCCTTCTTGTTACTCTTCACATCTCTTGCTAGCTGCAACTCCAGGTGTGATTTGGCCTTCCTGATTTCACTCCTGCATGCCCGAGCAATATTTTTATACTCTTCCCTGGTCATTTGTCCAATCATAGAATCATAGAATATCAGGGTTGGAAGGGACCTCAGGAGGTCATCTAGTCCAACCCCCTGCTCAAAGCAGGACCAATCCCCAACTTCTTGTAAGCTTCTTTTTTGTGTTCAAGATCAGTAAAGATTTCACTGTTAAGCCAAGCTGGTCACCTGCTATATTTACTATTCTTTCTCTACATCAGTCTGTTTCGTCCCTGTAACCTCAATAAGGCTTCTTTAAAATACAGCCAGCTCTCCTGGAGTCCTTTCCCCCTCGTGTTATTCTTCCAGGGGATCCTGCCCATCAGTTCCCTGAGGGAGTCAAAGTCTGCTTTTCTGAAGTCCAGGGTCCGTATTTTGCTGCTCTCCTTTCTTCCTTTTGTCAGGATCCTGAACTCGACCATCTCATGGTCACTGCCTCCCAGGTTCCCATCCACTTTAGCTTTCCCTACTAATTCTTCCTGGTTTGTGAGCAGCAGGTCAAGGAGAGCTCTGCCCCTAGTTGGTTCCTCTAGCACTTGCACCAGGAAATTGTCCTCTACACTTTCCAAAAACTTCCTGGATTGTCTGTGCACCGCGGTATTGCTCTCCCAGCAGATATCAGGGTGATTGAAGTCTCCCATGAGAACCAGGGCCTGCGATCTAGTAACTTCCGTGAGTTGCCAGAAGAAAGCCTCGTCCACCTCATCCCCCTGGTCCGGTGATCTATAGCAGACTCCCACCACGACATCACCCTTGTTGCTCACACTTCTAAACTTAACCCAGAGACACTCGGGTTTTTCTGCAGTTTCATACCAGAGCTCTGAGCAGTCATACTGCTCTCATACATACAATGCAACTCCCCCACCTTTTCTGCTCTGCCTGTCCTTCCTGAACAGTTTGTATCCATCCATGACAGTACTCCAGTCATGTGAGTTATCCCACCAAGTCTCTGTTATTCCAATCACATTATAATTCCTTGACTGTGCCAGGACTTTCAGTTCTCCCTGCTTGTGTCCCAGGCTTCTTGCATTTGTGTATAGGCACTTGAGATAACTTGCTGATTGTCCCTCTTTCTCAGTATGAGGCAGGAGCCCTTCCCTCTCGCATCCTCCTGCTCGTGCGTCCTCCTGGTATCCCACGTCCCCACTTACCTCAGGGCTTTGGTCTCCTTCCCCCAGTGAACCTAGTTTAAAGCCCACTTCACTAGGTTAGCCAGCCTGCTTGCGAAGATGCTCTTCCCTCTCTTAGTTAGATGGAGCCCGTCTCTGCCTAGCACTCCTCCTTCTTGGAACACCATCCCATGGTCAAAGAATCCAAAGCCTTCTCTCTGACACCACCTGCGTAGCCATTCATTGACTTCCACGATTCGTCGGTCTCTACCTGGGCCTTTTCCTTCCACGGGGAGGATGGACGAGAAGACCACTTGCACCTCAAACTCCTTTATCCTTCTTCCCAGAGCCACGTAGTCTGCAGTGATCCGTTCAAGGTCATTCTTGGCAGTATCATTGGTGCCCACGTGCAGAAGCAGAAAGGGGTAGCGATCCGAGGGCTTGATGAGTCTTGGCAGTCTCTCCGTCACATCGCGAATCTTAGCTCCTGGCAAGCAGCAGACTTCTCGGTTTTCCCGGTCGGGGCGGCAGATAGATGACTCAGTCCCCCTGAGGAGAGAGTCCGCGACCACCACCACCCTTCTCCTTCTCTTGGGAGTGGTGGTCGTGGAACCCCCAACCCTAGGACAGTGCATCTCATGCTTTCCAATCGGCGGAGTCTCCTTCTGTTCCCTTCCCTCAGACGTAGTCCACTCTCTTCATTAGTAGCTGTGGGGAGAACATGAAAACGGTTGTTTACCTGTATCTGCGTTGCTGGTACATGGACGCTCCCCTTTCTTCTTCTGGAGGTCACATGCTGCCAAATTTCTTCACCGTCCGTCTGTCCCCGCTGCGCAACCTGCGCTGAATCTTCAGAATGTTGTGTCCTTAGAAGCATATCCTGACATCTGTCCAGGAACTCTTCAGTTTCTCTTATGCAACGCAGTTTCTCTTATGCAGTTTCTCTTATACCTGTTGCTCCAGACCTTGAACCTTCTCTTCCAATATGGAGACCAGCTTGCACTTCGTACAGACAAAGTGGCTTCTGTCCTGTGGAAGAAAGACAAACATGGCACATCCAGTGCAGGTCACAACAGCTGAACGCTCACCATCCATATTACCTTCCTTCTATGAGTTTCCTCAGGAATTTTAGTAACTACTCAGAGAAGACAGCAAGATGTAAGCCTCAGTGGGCTCTCCCCAGGTGAACTCCCTCTGTTAGCCTCTCTGCTGTTCGCTGCTCAGCTGGTTCGCAGCTGACTGGCTTTTTATAACAGTCAGGCCCACTCAGGGCTCACCTGGAATATATCTTTCCTTGGACCAGCTTCTGTTGGAGAAGGAGACAAGCTGGGCCAGCCCTGAAGAAGAGCTCAGTGCAGCTTAAAAGCTTGTCTCTTTCCCCGGCAGAAGCTGATCCAATCAAAGCTATTCCTTCCCACGCCTTGTCTCTGCAGCAGTAATGTTCGCTAATCACTGAACTCGGTGAGCAGGTTGTAAACTGAACTTCCCTGATTGATGTTACCTGTGAAAAGGGCCAAAAGCCCAAACTATAGCTTGAGGGTCCCCAGATCTCAGCTCTGCCCTGGAGTGCCCGGCTAGATGGCGAGTTACAAAGCAAGCAGCCAGCATGCCTGCGCTGGAACAGGCAAACTCACGGGAACACTTTGCAGTTATGACTGAATGTCCCAGCGGGGGCGGAATTCCTAGGCATTCCTGGCTGCTCCATCCCTCAGAGCCCTGAAATCTCCCTTTGAAATGGGTAAGTGCAGGGGAGGGCACATACTGCTGCTGGGACACAGTAGACCAGAGTATGGATGCAGGAAGCAGCCTGCGTTCATGGCCATTGCAAGTGTGCACTGTGCTGCATGCCTGACCAGCCACTGCCCACGGGGATGGCAGGAGCCTGCCTGGTGACCGAGGCCAGCTGTTGAGCTTGCGGCTGATGGGATTTGAGCACCTTTGTGATACACTGAATGTATTGCTCGCACTACTTGCCTCTTTGGGTGACACTGGCTCTGTGAACTGGCACTGGACTAGATCAGAGCATAGGAGAACTCCTGCCTTCCTCAAAGGCTGCAGGAGGGTTCTTCACCCCACAGCAGGGGCTGGGAGTTTGACTCCCCCAGGCTAGGTTGTTCCATTCAGTCCCAGCTTGGGTGGATTGTGCTGTGGCTCTTGTCTGTAGAAAGGGATGAAATAGCACCAGGACCTGAGCAGTCCTGCACTTCGTGGAGTTTGAACTCCGCACCAAAGGTCATCGCTCCAGCCCCTCTACAGGCTGCATGTTTATATAATCACACATCTTTCCAGCTGCTGACCAGTCTCTGTCCATAAGTCCCTTCTGAGCCATTTCTCACCCTGGAATCATAACCCAAAGCCAGGGAAACTGGGATGTTAGATGAGGTGGGATCTGAGTTACTATAGAAAATTCTTTCCTGGGTATCTGGCTGGTGAATGTTGCCCATATGCTCAGGGTTTAGCTGATAGCCATATTTGGTGTCGGGAAGGAATTTTCCTCCAGGGCAGATTGGAAGAGGCCCTGGAGGTTTTTCACCTTCCTCTGTAGCATGGGGCACGGGTCACTCGCTGGAGGATTCTCTGCTCCTTGAAATCTTTAAACCACAATTTGAGGACTTCGATAGCTCAGACATAGTTGAGAGGTTCATTTCAGGAGTGGGTGGGTGAGATTCTGTGGCCTGCATTGTGCAGGAGGTTGGACTGGATGATCATAATGGTCTCTTCTGACCTTAGTATCTATGAATCTATGAAACTGCTTCCCTTCAGGGCCTGCCTTAAAAGTTGAGACCCTTTCAGGTATGTCTACACTGCCATTAGACACCTCTGGCTTCCCCATGCCATAGAACAGGAGTGGGGAACCTATGGCCTGTGGGCCGGATCTGGCCCGTTGCTTAATTTCATCCAACCCGTGTATCCCATAGGCTGGGGAAGGCTGTGACTCCCCAAACAGCCAGGCGTGGACCACACTCCACCCTGCCCAGGCCCTCTCCCCGCCTGTTCACTGCCGTGCAGCGTGCAGCTCCTCCAGTCCCCCTGTGCTCCAGCCAGAGCTCGGAGGGCTGCCCGCCTGCCCTCCTGGCACTCTGGGTCTAGGCAGGCCTGTGTGCTGCCTGACTTCCAGGCGCTCCAGGCCTGGGCAGGGCTGGGGCCCACGCCATCTGCCCTCCCGGCACCCCTCTGGGGCTGGGAGGCTAGCGTGGGGCGGGGTTTGGGGCCGGTGGTCATGGGGTGGTGTGGGGGCCACAGGACTCTGGCAGGGAGGTGGAAGGGGCGTGGCTGGGGGCTTTGGCTCAGACCCTTGCTTTTTACTATTATGTGACCCGCGACTGATTGTTTTCTGTGGGTCAGTGGTCCGTGGTAGAAAAAAGGTTCCTTACCTCTGCCATAGAACATACGAACGGCCACATCGGGTCAGACCAACGGTCCATCTAGCCCAGTCTCCTGTCTTACGACAGCGGCCTGTGCCAGGTGCCCCAGAGGGAATGAACAGAACAGGCAATCATCAAGTAATCCATCCTCTGTCGCCCATTCCCAGCTTCTGGCAAACAGAGGCTAGGGACACCAGTTTCTCTGAAATGGCCTTATCATCCTTGAGTGCTCCTTTAGCGTCTTGTTCGTCCAGGGGCCCCACTGGTTGTTTAGCAGGCTTCCTGCTTCTGATGTACTTAAAAATATTTTGCTGTTAGTTTTTGAGTCTTTGGCTAACTGTTCTTCACATTCTTTTTTGGCCTTCCTAATTATATTTTTACACTTTGCTTGCCAGCCTTTATGCTCCTTTCTATTTTCCTCACTAGGATTTAACTTCCACTTTTTAAAGGATGCCTTTTTGCCTCTCACTGCTTCTCTTACTTTGTTGTTTAGCCACGGTGGCTCTTTTTTTGATTCTCTTACTATGTTTTTTAATTTGGGCTATACATTTGAGTTGAGCCTCTGTTACAGTGTCTTTAAAAAGTTTCCATGAAGCTTGCCGGGATTTCACTTTTGGTGCTGTACCTTTTAATTTCTGTTTAACAAACTTCCTAATTTTCATGTAGTTCCCCTTTCTGAAATTAAATGCTACCATGCTGGGCTGCCGTGGTGTTTTCCCTGCCACAGGGATGTTAAATTCAGTTATATTATGGTCACTATTACCAAGCAGTCCAGCTATATTCATCTCTTGGACCAGATCCTGTCCTCCATTTTGGACTAAATGAAGAATTGCCTCTCCTCTTGTGGGTTCCAGGACTAGCTGCTCCAAGAAGCAGTCATTTAAGGTGTCAAGAAACTTTATCTCGGCATCCCGTCCTGAGGTGACTGTCAATATGGGGATAGTTGAAATCCCTCATTATTATTGAGTTTTTTTGTTTTTATAGCCTCTCTAATCTCCCTGAGCATTTCACAGTCACTATCACCATCCTGGTCAGGTGGTCAGTAATATGTCCCTACTGCTATTTTCTTATTATTCAAGTATGGATTGCTATCCATAGAGATTCTATGGTACAATTTGGTTCATTTAAAATTTTTACTTCATTTGATTCAATGCTTTCTTTCACATATAGTGCCACTCCCCCACCAGCATGATCTGTTCTGTCCTTCCAATATATCTTGTACCCTGGTATTACTGTCTCACTGATTATCCTCATTCATCAGTATTGTAGGCAGAGATATTACCATCTCCCTATTCCTACCCCATGTTCCCATTTATACATCCAAACAAGCTGTGATATCTGCATCCCTATTATCTGGGAAAGTTTCCTTCTAAGGGTATGTCTACACTGCAGTTAGACACCCTGGGCTGGCCTGTGCCAGCTGACTCCAGACTGCTGCGGGGCTGCAGGGTCCTAGACCCTGTGCTCCAACCCAGGTCCAGAAGTCTACACTGCAATTAAACAGCTCCTTAGCCCAAGCTGTGTGTGCCTGGGTCAGCTGTTTAAAACAAACAAAAGGAAGCATTTCTTCACACAACGCACAGTCAACCTGTGGAACTCTTTGCCAGAAGACGTTGTGAAGGCCAAAGCTATAACAGGGTTCTAAAACGAGCTAGATAAATTCATGAAGGATAGGTCTATCAATGGCTACTAGCCAGGATGTGCAGGGGTAGTGTCCCTAGCCTCTGGTTACCAAAGACTGGGAATGGGCGATAGGGGATGGATCACTTGATGATTACCTGTTCTGTTCATTCCATCTGGGGCACCTGGCATTGGCCACTGTTGGAAGACAGGATACTGGGCTAGATGGACCTTTGGTCTGACCCAGTATGGTTGTTCTTATGTTCTTGATGAGACCTTTACTGGACACTGTGTCCAGTTCTGGCCTCCATGCCTGAAAAAGGATGTTGAAAAATTGTAGAGGGTTCAGAGCAGAGCTACAAGAATGATTCAAGGTCTGTAGAACCTGCCTTGCAGTGACAGCCTAAAGAAGCTCAATATATTTAGCTTATTGAAGAGAAGGGTAAGAGGTGACTTGATCACGGTCTGTACGTTCCTACCCGGTGAGAAGATTTCTGATCGCAGAGAGCTCTTTAATCTTATAGATTCATAGACATAAAGCCAGAGGGGTCCATTTTACCCATCAGTTCTGACCTCCTCCATAATTCTGGCCACAGCTTCTGGGTTAACAAGAGCAGATCCTTTAGAAAGACGTCCAATTTTGATTTAAAGACTGCAAGTAATAGAATCCACTACGTTCCTTGGTAAGTTGTTCCCATGGTAAATTACTCTCAATATTAAAAATTGTTCCTTATTTCCAGTTTGAGTTTGTCTAACTGAAACTTCCAGCCATTGGATTTTTTTCTACCTTTGCCCACTAAGGTGAAGAACCCTCTAGTATTATATATTTTTTCCCCATAGAAGTAGTTACAGACTCCACATCACACATGCAGTGCAGGGTTTGGATGGTGGCAGTAAATAAGGCAGGGGCTACAAACTGACTGAGGAATACTGAACAAGCTGCCTCCTTCACTGAGCACTGTCCGTCCTTTGTGCTGAATGAGGTGCAGTCCTGTGGAAACATAGTGCATGGTTATAGAATTAAGGAATGTACCATAATGCCTAGACACAAGGTGGCAGCACTAGGTTTGCACAGGCCACCAGAGATCTGCCATTTCCTACCTTTGCAGTGTGTGACTTTGCAGATTTAACGTTTTAATATAGTTTTTTTTCATGCAATTAAAAAATAGAATAAAATAAAAATAAGTGTGGAACCAAATTTAGGGCTTGAACCTGCTCCACTGATGCCAAAGGCAAAGATCTTGGTGGCTTCAGCGGGAGCAGAAGTGTACACTGATTGAATGAAGACCTGCCCCTTTGCAGGGCATGGCCCACACCTTTCTTTCTCCTGCTGATCACTGTGCTTCCTGTCCTCCCCAGCATCACTGCCACTGCAGCCAGCATTGGAGCGGCAGGCATCCCCCAGGCAGGCCTGGTGACCATGATGATTGTGCTGACATCGGTGGGGCTGCCAACTGAGGACATCACCCTCATCATTGCGGTGGACTGGTTTCTGTAAGTGCCCTACACAATGGCGAGCTCTGCTCCAGCTGCAGAGCCAGGTCCTTCCTGCTATGTGCGGGAGTTTGCTGTGCTCAGTGCCTGGTCCAAACAGCACAGTGAAGGCTCTAGGACCACCTTGTATCACTAGGCTTGCAGCCTACTCCTTTACATGTGGGGTCCAGCCAGGGCTCCTCAGCACATATCCCAGAGACTCCAGGCACAAGTGACCATGTTCAGAGCAGCTGGGTCACTGAGCAGAGTAGGCTCCATTTGCTCTAACTGGCCAAGTCCTAAAGACTTTTCCTAGACCTTCAGGGCCAGCTTGTCCCCAAAAGGTGCAGGCCTGCATTGGGGCAGTACTGCACGCAGGGAGCTTGGGAAGGGATTGTGTCTCAAGGAGGCACAGGGCTCCCTGGGGGCAGGAGTGTGGCATCGGCGCCAGAATAGGGAGGGCCAGGGGGCCATGATCCTCCCACTTTTTGAAAGTGGACAGATTAGCCCTGCCCCCACCTCCAACCCTGCTCCTCTTCTTCCCCCTAAAGCCCCACCCTCTGACCAGGCTGCCAGCTGGAGCCCGGCTGAGGAGCCTGGGCAGCGGGGGGTGCCATGCCACTGACACTCCACCTGATTGGGGTGGGGGGGACCAAGAGAAGCCCCCAGCCCATGTCCTTGCTCCTGGGCCCCCAGCCCAGGGCAGGTGGAGGCTCCTCATTGCTGCCTGGCCACACGGCTCTTACAATGGCCGGCTGCGGCTCTGAGGCCCTAGCCCCTGGCCGGAGCCAGGTCAGAGTAATAGCCATGCAGGCAACTGTGGGGAGCCACAAACCCTCCACCTGCACCGGGGGTTGCTCTCGGCCCCCTCACACCAGGCAGTTGGAGGGTCTACGGCTCCCAGCCCGCTTCGGGTTCCAGCATGGCCGGGGGCGGGGCAATGGAAGGAGCGGGGCTCCTGCCCCCCCACTTTTGGGACGGTTCCACCGGGGCTGGAGTGTGGCCCTGGCAGACAGCAGCAATATTTGTGTATTCTGCGTTCATTGTGATGCAGACTGAAGCGGGTCACGCTAACTATGGGCATTAAAAATTAACACAGGAATAGACTGAAAGAGCAGCTCCCAAGTCTAGGATTGCGTTGGTAAGAAGAAAATTGACCAGGGCTGCAGGCAAATGGCTACGGGTGAGTGCCAGAACGTGCACCCCTGCAACACAGAGCAGGGGACGGAGGCTGGCGAAGGGTCTCAGGCCTGGAGTTGGCTGAGGAAGGCGAAGGAAAATAGGGAGCTGATGAAATGATGTTGGCTGTTGTGTTTAAATGATTACACCGTATAAGGGATCAGCTGCCTCCTGAGCACCCCCTCATGGCCAGAGGTCATGCTGCAGCAGCCTGCTTCTGTTCCTTTCCTTGGGTCCTTTCATAACTCACTCAGTTAACTGGTGCTGAAGCATTTTCTGCTCGCTGCTTCACAGGGTCGGGTTAGAGCAAGGCAGGGCGTAGGCTGGTGCTAGGGTGACTGTAGCAGGCCCTCAGAGCTGTGTTTGCACAGTTCGGGGGTCATCCCCCAGCAAAGCTCCACCCACTCCTACGTGCACAGGCCCAGCACCCTCCCTGTCCCCTCTGAACCCCTGCCCTCACACAACGCTTGGCCCACTCACGTCATGCAAGTGCTTAAACATTCCAAAACCGAGGCAATTCATGCACGAACCCCTCTGCTGGGAACCAGTTCCAGCTGCCACACATGCAAGTTACCTGACAAACCACAAAGGCAAGGAAATGAAAAGTTAAAGCACCTAGCAGTACATGCCCTCTACTCCACCCACAGACACACACCTTTTCATTACCGCAATTACCGTACGCCACGTGGCACAGCCTTAACCCAGAGGGATTCCATCCTCCTACCCCCACATTTTGCAACATATGTAACATATAGTGTCATCTCTATAGCGAGGTGTACTCAAGTCAGAACATGACACAGGCTCGATCCACCCTCTGGGCCCCTGCTTGTCAAGAATCAGTTTTCATCCCTTTCATTCCTGAACTGGTACTGTGATAGGCGTGCATCCTACATAATGTGGGGGCACCTAGCCCACCCCAATCGTAGAGTACACACCAGGATCAGCAGGGACAATCTGATTGTCACCAACACAGAGGCCAAGAAGGGGGTTTGTGTGGGGTCATAAGAATTACAAGTAAGCAGAGCAAGTTCAAGGATAAATGACTTCTGCCTAGATGTGCCTCCCACAGTCAACCGAACTGGAAGAATAGGAGCTCAAGGTGAAACGGTGAAGAAACAGGTCCTATTGGCAACAGTGCTCGTGGGGTAGGTGGCTGCCATCCCTGAGGGCAGCATTAAGGTTCTGGGGTAGATGTGACAGTCCCATCCGTGCCAGTGGGTGTAGAGGGAGTGTACCAGTCAGTGGCTTCACTCCTCACTCCATGGTTTTGTGTCAGGTGTGTTTTGTGTGTGGCCACTTTAATTATTTCACAATTACCTTTTTGTGTGTGTATAAATAAGTAGAACGATGACATAACAGCTACTGGCAAAGAAACCAGAGCAATTTGGTGGGAAATGATTTTCAATCATATTATGTCAAACTCTTGGTGGGGGCAGTTTGGTTGGTTGGTTTTGTTCAGGCTCATTTTAAAGCACAGTTCTGCTCAGAGACAGCTTGGTGGGGTGGGGGGTGTCCTTGTTTGTCTTTCAGTGAGTCCGAATCCAAAGCCAGCTGCCAGCTCTGAGCCCTGTGGGACAGGCTCTGTTCCACCATCACCAGTAGAAAAGGTTCTGCAGGCCAAATTACCCCTCCAGGAGAGCTGTGGGGCCCCGGTGCTTGGAGCAGGACTGCACAAGTGTGAAGTGATGGGAAGTTCTGTCAATGCCAGGCTGCAGTTCACTCTATCTCAGCCCAGCTGGCTCTGCCAGATGAAAACCAGTCACAAGTTTTTTGAGACCCTTAAAGGCAGCAGAACTGAGAGCAATGCACAGAGCCTGATTTCCCTCTCACACCAGTTGTAAACTGAGAGCAATCCCTTTGAAACCGGTGGAGCTGTACTGGTCCTGTTGACATTCCAGGGAAGTGTCGGGTGGAAGTGAGAGGCAGGGGTAGATCAGTTGAATAAGAAGGACTCTTTTTAAAATCACTTCTCTGAGTCAAACCGAACTTCAGGTGTCCCAAGTCGGGGGGGCCATTCCGTAGCTGCCTAGATCTGCCTTAGGAAGATTTTCAGCACAAATTTCATTTTGACCCTTTGTCTAAAGCACCAGGCACTAGAGCTGCTTGAAAAATGGGGAACATTTCCCTGAAAATGTTTGTGGAAAATGTGTCCCTTTTTCTGTTGAAATTCTGACAGTTTTCAGCTAGCTCTGGTACCAAAAAGTGATGACATTTCCCTGAAAGACTCATCCTGTTTTTCATGGTCACTCTTCTCTGCTGCTTTCCAGGGACCGTCTGAGAACCACCACCAATGTGCTGGGGGACTCCCTGGGAGCTGGGATTGTGGAGCACCTGTCTCGGCATGAGCTGGATGCACAGGACAGCGAGCTCGGGAAGTCTGTGATTGAGGAGAATGCGAAGCCCTACCACCTGATCTACCAGGCGAACACCCACAAGCACCGCAGCAGTGAGACAATCATGTGACGCCAGGGAGCAGGGTTCAGATTGAGCCTTTAAAAAGGTCAAGACTTTCAGTGGCGGGGGATGGAGAAAGAGCCAAGCAGAAGCAAACTCTCCTCCCCCTACACACATTTCCCCATGCAGCCTCCCAGCCCTGCCTCTTTTAAACCTAAGCTACGGAGAAAACAAAGATTTAACCCTTTCTTTACCGAGACAGTTAGATGTTCATTGTGACCCTCATATAAGAGAAGCAGGACTGAGAGGTCCTGCCTTTGTGGTCCACTTCCCCACCCTGGACTAGACTAGGAGTGGGAGGATGATAGTGTTTAGATTAGTAACTGTTCCTCCTCTGCACTTTGAGGCAGAAAACTGGAGCAGCCTCTGTCTCCCACTTCTAGACATTGTCTGAGGCACCAGGTGTTTCATTAGCATCTTTCTTCAAATTTTTATCTGCCTTTCTTTGTATGCTTGGCATATGAAGGGTTAAGGACCAAGACAATAGGCAGCAACTGGCTCCTAGAATTAGTTGGTATTTTGCAGTAACCAACTAGGATTTGGTTGCTTCCATGGTACTTACCTGTCACTATATAGCAGCATTTTTTTTGTGAAGTCCTGGCTTTCTAGTTTCTATTGTGATCCAGGAATCAGACCTGAGTATGTTACATTCAAAGGTAGAGTTGGCCTAGCACAGGGGTGGCCAATCTGGGGCTCCGGAGCCACATGTGGCTCTTCAGAAGTTACTAGGCGGCTCCTTGTCTAGGCCCCGACTCCGGGGCTGGACCTACAGGCGCCAACTTTCCAGTGTGCTGGGGGGGTCCTCAATGCTCAACCCCTGGCTCCGCCACAGCCCCTGCCCCCACTCCACCCCTTCCCACCCCTCCCCTCAGCCTGCCGTGCCCTCGCTCCTCCCCCCCTCCCCCTGCAGAGCCTCCTGCATGCCACGGAACAGCTGATCAGGAGGCGCTGGGAGCGGGGAGTGGAGCTAATGGTGGCTTTTTGGAAATGTACATTGGTAAATTCTGGCTCATTCTCAGGCTCAGGTTGGCCACCCCTGGCCTAGCAGCTTCCCTGGTTCTCAGCTAAAGCATTACCCAACCAATAACTGAAGCTAGATTAGTGATTTGATTGTCACTGTGGCTGCATAGAAGCATTGTCACAAAATTCTTAATGTCCTCCTGCAGAGATGCAGAGCCAAACAGCAGGTCAGGCTCCACAGGTCTGAGGATCACCACTGGGAACCCGGTTTACATTAGCAAGGGGCACACAAGGAATCAGGGGGGAGCCGCCAGAAGAACTCCCCGACTTCTCAAGTGGCAATTATATTTATATCAGAATAGCAGCAGTGACATCATAGCAACCCAGGGTTCCTGAGGGCCTATCTCATGCAGTATCCTGACAACCTTGTTACAGGCAGCTCTTGGGGCTGCATGGCTTTCAAGGGGCTGGGAGTCTGTGGACAATATGGACATTCTGACTTTTCTTTTACTCTTTAGTTTGGGACAAAATATCATTACCTGTGAATATGGGCCAGGCTGGCAGAACCAGGAAGGGGTTGAATGACTTCTGTTCATCTGAGAAGCTGCTAGAGGTGGGCACACGAGCACAGAGAAAGAATTGATTGGCATTGGTTAAGGCATCTAGCAGTCTGTAGGTACTCCAGGACTTGGATGGGAAATCAGGCTTCTTCTAAAGGTCAAGAGGGTCGAGGGATAGCTCAGTGGTTTGAGCATTGGCCTGCTAAACCCAGGGTTGTCAGTTTGATCTTTGAGGGGGCCATTTAGGGATCTGGGGCAAAAATTGGGGATTGGTCCTGCTTTCAGCAGGGGGTTGGACTAGATGATCTCCTGAGGTCCCTTCCAACCCTGTTATTCTATGATTCTAGGGGGTCGTGTCACTCCTCAAAAGTTGCCTTGATAGCCAGTAGCTCCTTGTCCAGACTATCATAGCTTTTTTTCTGCCAGGGTTAGCTTCTGAGAATAAAAGGCACAAGGGTGGAGTAGGGGTGGGGGGCATATTGAGTTTGGCAAAGTTTGAGGTGTGGACCTCGATTGTAAATGGTTTAATGGGATCTGGGTGAATCAGGATGAGTGCTGTGGTAAACTTCTGTCGATCAAAGGCCAACTGAGCCTCTGTGGACCAGGCAAACTGGGGCAAACCATTAACCATGCTGCCAGGCTAGAGAATCCTTTAATAAATTGCCTGTAGAAACTGGCGAACCCCAGGAATTGCTGCATCCTGCTACCTCCTTAGGCACGGCCCAGTTGGATAGTGCTGCCACCTGACATGGGTCCATGGTGTGTCCCGCATGCAAAATGATATATCCCAAGAATTCCACTGTGGCTTTATGGAACTCAGTTGTTCTCCATGCTGGGGAGACAGGGCTGGACCTGATCAACTTGCATGGGTTTGGGCATTGGAGAAAGGACTGGTAAGGCAGGGCTGGAGCCAGCAGGGTGGTGGATGCTGGGAGGACTATATATTTTCTTGGCAGCATTCGGTCAGGCAGTCTGTTGATCTTGATGCATAGGTTGACTAACCCATCCAGGTGGGTCAGTGATCCCACCCATGCCAGGTCATCTTTCATAGTGTCATTTTAGGCCAGGCTGGAAATGATAACTCTGGTCAGCCTCATTCTACTCAAAGTCTGCTGCCAAGCATTGGCACTCCAGGACCGTCTGCCATTCCTGCTGACACCTGAAGTGCAGCTTCAGCTGCACACTTGAAGATCACCACCATAGCTTGAATGAAGTCCGCACATTGTCCCAGAATGGCTCCAGGAATGGAGATGCCAAGCTAGGGCCTCCTCAGGAAGCAGCCTGATAATCTGTCCCACTCAGGGTTGGTCAGTGGGGTACATAGAATCATAGAAGATTAGGGTTGGAAGAGACCTCAGAGGTCATCTAGTCCAACCCCCTGCTCAAAGCCATCTAGTCCAACCCCCATCTCTGAGCGTATCAGAAATAGGAGCCAACATTGATTTAGGAACCCACGAAATTTGTTGTGATGGCCATTGAATTTGTCAGATGGGGGAGCTTAGACTCATGGAGAAGAGGGGCCAGAGCTGAAGGCAGTGTGGCTTGAGCTTGAAGGACTGCATTCTGCACATGCAGGCCAGCACCCTAGGCCGGCATGGTCTGTCGGACGCCAGCTAGCTCTGTCAGAGAGATATTGGCCTTTGTAGAGTCTGCACTCTCTGTCTCAGCTCTAATTCTCCTCTTGTTTGTATTGGGCTGTCAGTGACCAGAACACGGGTGGTTGGGCTTAGTGATGGGAGCAGGACTAGGGCCTAGTGGGTAGGGCAGGAGTCGGTCCTGAGGAATCGCAGCCCAGGGTCAGAGCCACTGTACTTGGAGAGAGACAAGGCTGGGGCCAAGGCAGGAGCAGGGCAGAGGCCAAGGGTGGAACAGGGCAGGAGCAGGGCTGGGAATAGCAGGCACAGGAGCTATTGCAGCCGTAGGCAAATGCTTTGAGTAGCTGCTGAAGTGCTGCTGCTGGGCATAAGAGCCAGTCTACTGACTTCTCCCACCAATCCGCTGACGCAGACAGACAGGCAGCCTGCACAGGCCAGCTGCACTTGTGAGGTTGCCAGAGACTGGCTTACTTGCAGGCCGTGGGTCCCAATAACCCCTCAGACACATGCGCTGAGTGAAGGGGTAGTTTTGCTAGGGCTGCAAATACCCTAGGTGCAGAGGCTCAAGCAGTTACAGTTCAAGGTGTGTAATAGCGGTTCCTGTTGGGGTCTGGCCAGTCCAGAGCCAGGGCTCTTTCAGCTTAGGGTGCCCTCTCCAGTCCAGTCTCTACTCCAGCAAACTGGAGCTTGCAGGTTTCCAGGCCAGGCTCAGTTAGTGTCTTTCATTGAGGCCTCTCTGCGCTGGCTCCGTGCCCAGCCACTGCTGCTCCCACATACGTCCCACACAGACCTGCACCCACCTGTGACATCTGGCAGTCACAGCCTGTTTCACACACAGCTGTCCACAGTTTCCTTGGGCTTCTCTCCAGCTCCCTGCTGCCATACAGCTCCCCCTCCTAAACAAAGCCTGGCCACTTCTGGTTGAGGGTCTTTCCCCTTACCTGGCCAGGCGTAAGGGGACGTGTGGTGAGAAGGGGGCTGATGGGATTTGTCGTCCCCTGCTCTGCAGAGCCAGCACACTGCCTTTCATGGGAGCTGGGCAATCAGCACCTTGGGCAGGGCTTGGAAGCATTGGCAGCTTCAGACAGTTGGGTCTTATTTTTCTGATTTATTTTTGTAAGTGAAATATCTGCACAATTCTATCATTTGAAAGCAGGCTGCTGCTCCTCTGGCAGTAACTTGATTCATGTCCTGCTGGAGCGATTCTGTACTGCAGACCGGTCCCTCATGACAGTGATAGACTGGCACAGTGCAGGCTGTAGGGCTCCCACTCCATTTTTTAAATCAGTGCCTAAATAAGGATAGCCCAGAAGAACTCTGTCGGAAAATCCGGTGCATTACACACATTTGCTATTTACACAGTGTGGTGGCGCGAACACCCATAGCTGAGCCATCTCCTGGTGGCTGTGCCAGGGCCTGTGAACTGCCATTTAACACAGTGAAGACCCAAGCTAAGGAAACTAGAATGTAACACCCCCAGGCTCCAACAAAGTCACAGACTGACAAGCCCAGGGAGTCAGGAAAGTAGGAGTTACAGTACCATCCCCTTCTTAACTTCCCCACCCAGAAGGTAGATTGATCATGCATATGGGCTAGGGGACAGAGTATCAGACTAGATCTGCAACTGACCTGCTGCGTGTTCCTGGACACATCACCTTTCCCCTTTGTCTCAGTCTTCCCATTTGAAAAATTATTCTATTTAGCAAAGCTTTTGACACGGTCTCCCACAGTATTCTTGTCAGCAAGTTAAGGAAGTATGGGCTGGAAGAATGCACTATAAGGTGGGTAGAAAGCTGGCTAGATTGTCGGGCTCAACGGGTAGTTATCAATGGTTCCATGTCTAGTTGGCAGCCGGTATCAAGTGGAGTGCCCCAAGGGTCGGTCCTGGGGCCGGTTTTGTTCAATACCTTCATAAATGATCTGGAGGATGGTGTGGATTGCACTCTCAGCAAATTTGCGGATGATACTAAACTGGGAGGAGTGGTAGATACGC